ATACATATACACACATTTATGTGTATATATATGTATATGTATATACACACACGTATACACAAGTATGCCACCTGAGTACCTGATGATGGTTGTGAGTTCGACTCCCAGTGTGTGACCTGTGGCAGTGTGGAGCTCAGGTTCTGGTTCTGGTTCTGGTTCTGGTGAAATCCCATGTCTTTGATGTTGTTCAGCTTCAGTCAGACGTCCAGTGAAATGTCAGTCAGACACAGTTGTCTCCACCTGTGTCCTCGTTGTTGGTCCGTCCTCGTACTGACGTCACAGTAGCTTCACCTTCCTCCACAGAGCGTCCAACTGTGTCCCACCTGTGGACACGGGCCTGTTAGGCAGAGCAGAGAGGACAGCAATAAGTCAACCATCCACAGGACTTTGTTCTGAGACGGTGTGGGAGGAGACGGAGACGGAGACTGAAGTCTGGGTGTCACTCTGCCCTGAGGGACGGCAACGTCTCTAACGTCATTCTTTACTTTATTGTAATGGGAAAACCCTGGAGCTTCTAGTCAACAACATGAAACTGTAGACGACACAGACCGACCAGCAGGGGGCACACAGCTGGTTTATCACAGGGCTAATCAGATTAGGGGGCGCTGTGACACTGGCCTTTATAAACAAACCCATGATGATGATATCATAACCAGAGCAGCTGTTGATCAGACAGAGGGAGGGTTCATGTTCCACCTGAGTAATGTCAGGAATCTGTAGTACTCAGATACCTCAGGTACTGCAGTAAACCTAATACTAATACTCTCCTCTCTTCTCTCAGCGACAGTCTTCCTGGAGTTCTGGAAGAGACGAAGAGCTGCTCTGGCCTACGACTGGGACCTGATAGACTGGGAGGAGCAGGAGGTCAGTGGGTCAGTCTGTCAGTCTGTCAGTCAGTGAGTCGGTCGGTCAGTCAGTCAGTCAGTCAGTCAGTGAGTCAGTCAGTCAGTCAGTCAGTCAGTGAGTCAGTCAGTCTGTCAGTCTGTCAGTCAGTGAGTCGGTCGGTCAGTCAGTCAGTCAGTCAGTCAGTCGGTGAGTCTGTCAGTCAGTCAGTCAGTCAGTCAGTCAGTCAGTCAGTCAGTTGGTCCAGCCTCCTCTGTGAACCTCTTATTCAGTCAGCTCTGAAGTGACCGACTGTGATGACCGACTGTGAAGCCTCTGACCGACTGTGAAGTGACCGACTGTGAAGCCGCTGACTGACTGAAGAGACCGACTGTGAAGCCGCTGACCGACTGTGAAGTGACCGACTGTGAAGCCGCTGACTGACTGAAGAGACCGACTGTGAAGCCGCTGACCGACTGTGAAGTGACCGACTGTGAAGCCGCTGACTGACTGAAGAGACCGACTGTGAAGCCGCTGACCGACTGTGAAGCCTCTGAGCGACTGTGAAGCCTCTGACCGACTGTGAAGCCGCTGACCGACTGTGAAGCCTCTGAGCGACTGTGAAGCCTCTGACCGACTGTGAAGCCTCTGACCGACTGTGAAGCCTCTGACCGACTGTGAAGCCTCTGACCGACTGTGAAGCCGCTGACCGACTGTGAAGCCTCTGACTGACTCAGCAGATTCTGTTGTTTTTCTATATTTTCCTACAGAAATGCTGAGTCACCTCTGTCTGTTCAAATGTTCTTCTTCTTCTGTGTCAACATTAGCTCACATCACATAAACAGGCAGTAAAAATGTTGATGAGGTCGAACTGAACAGGTGAACTGACGTGACTTTGTTCTGTCACAGCGACTCAGAACCAGGTGACCCGTGGCCCGTGGTGAGGTTCTGGTGGGAGGTGGGGGGGTCACGTGTCTTTAATCAGCGCTGTCTGTGTTTTTCAGGATGAAGTCCGACCCCAGTTTGAGGCCAAATATTCCAAGAAGGAGAGAATGAACCCCATATCTGGGAAACCAGAACCGTACCAGGCCTTCACCGACAAGTACAGTCGACTGGTGGTCTCAACCTCAGGGATCTTCTTCATGGTGGGTCCAGGGTCCAGGGTCCAGGACTACAGCTACAGTTACCAGTTGAACCAGCTCCTCTGTCGTCCACAATATATTGATCATGTAAAATAACAATATAGTTAAGGAACCGTTGTTGACCTCTGGGAACTGGATGTTTCCTGGTTTCGTATCTGAACCTGGTGCAGGGACATTTATTTGAACGGTTCCACCATGTGTGAAGGAACCAGGTGTTGATTTCTTCTCCCGGTGTCGGTACAGATTCTGATCGTGATCGCCGCCGTCTTCGGCATCGTCATTTACCGTGTGATCACGGTCAGCACGTTCGCTGCCTTCGGCTGGGCCCTGATCAGGAACAACTCCCAGGTGGCCACCACAGGAACTGCAGTCTGCATCAACTTCTGTGTCATCATGCTGCTGAACGTGGTGAGTCCCGGCCGTGGGCCGCCAGCCCTACCTTTGATCACGGCAGTCACGTGACCACAGTGCTGACTTCCTGTCTGTTCTTTGGTTTTTCCTGCAGCTCTATGAAAAGGTCGCTCTTCTTCTCACCAACTTAGGTGAGTGGGCCGCAGTGTGGGCCGCAGAGTGGGCCACACACCACCCCTGCCCCCCCCCCCCCCCCCCCCCCGTGTGTCCACAGAGCAGCCGAGGACGGAGTCGGAGTGGGAGAACAGCTTCACTCTGAAGATGTTCCTGTTCCAGTTCGTCAACCTCAACAGTTCCACCTTCTACATCGCCTTCTTTTTGGGAAGGTGAGAAAAAAAACCAGAGGGACTGACGGGGGGGGAGGGGGGGAGAGGGGGGAGGGTACATGCAGTATCCACAGCTGCAGTACTTGAGTACTTCACGTCAGTAAAAGAGTCGGAGGTTTTGAATTATTCAACCTTTTCCACTCAGTTCTGGAAAATGATGATGAAGGAGAGAGAGAGAGTGTGTGTGTGTGTGTGTGTGTGTGTGTGTGTGTTTAATGTAAAACCTTCTCCTCTGTCCTCCTTGATTGACAGGTTCACTGGTCGACCTGGTTCTTATCTACGACTCCTCAACCGCTGGAAACTGGAGGAAGTGAGTGATGTGTTCAGCCAATAGGAGCGCAGCGTGTTTTAGAGTTCTGATTGGCTCAGCTAATGTGCTAACATAAGGGGGGGGGGGGTCAAAGGTCAACTAGGTAAAAGACAGAGCCTCAGAGAGTACTACACAGTACTGTATACAAGTATATCAGTAGTGGGTGTTCAAGTACTGGTTCCTGGGACCACAGTGTACCTGGTGTGTGTGTGTGACAGTGTGTGTGTGTGTGTTTCCAGTGCCATCCCAGCGGCTGCCTCATCGACCTGTGTATGCAGATGGGAATCATCATGGTCCTCAAACAGACGTGGAACGACGTCATGGAGCTGGGATACCCGTGAGTTCCACCGCTCTCTCTCTCTCTCTCTCTCTCTCTCTCTCTCTCTCTCTCTCTGACCAATGACAGCAGGACGTGTTGGTGTGTCAGCTGCAGCGTTGCCATGGTTACCGTCAACAGTCATCTGAGTACTGAGTAGTACTTAGTTTGATGACTTGATTTAAAACTTAACCAAGTTAGATTACAACTTACAGCACCCCCTGCTGTCTTAATATAGGAATGACAACCGGTTTGCCAACACTCATTTTATTGGTTGTGTTTTTTTAACAGTTGGTAGGACAAAAAAAACTGTTTTATACATTTTTTTTTATAAAAATTAAACCAGTCTTTCTTAGCTTCACTAAACAGAAATGGTTAACTGTTCACAGTGTTAGAGCACCACCTGGTGGACTGTGCCATGCAGTGACTCCAAATGCTTCAAATTTCACAACAATTAGACAACAGACCGGTCAGGACCGGTCTGTTAGTCTGTCAGTCTGTGAGTCTGTGAGTCTGTCAGTCTTCTGTCAGTCTGTGAGTCTGTCAGTCAGTCTGTCAGTCAGTCTGTCTGTCTGTCTGTCTGTCGGTCTGTCTGTCTGTCTGTCGGTCGGTCAGTCTGTCTGTCTGTCTGTCTGTCGGTCTGTCTGTCTGTCTGTCGGTCTGTCTGTCAGTCTGTCTGTCAGTCTGTCAGTCAGTCTGTCAGTCAGTCTGTCTGTCTGTCTGTCTGTCGGTCTGTCTGTCTGTCTGTCGGTCTGTCAGTCTGTCTGTCTGTCTGTCGGTCTGTCTGTCTGTCTGTCGGTCTGTCTGTCAGTCAGTCTGTCTGTCTGTCAGTCTGTCAGTCAGTCAGTCTGTTAGTCTGTCAGTCTGTCTGTCAGTCAGTCTGTCAGTCAGTCTGTCTGTCTGTCAGTCAGTCAGTCTGTCTGTCAGTCTGTCAGTCAGTCTGTCTGTCTGTCAGTCAGTCTGTCAGTCAGTCTGTCTGTCTGTCTGTCTGTCTGTCTGTCTGTCGGTCTGTCTGTCAGTCTGTCTGTCTGTCTGTCGGTCTGTCAGTCTGTCTGTCTGTCATTTCTCTTCTTTTTTCCAGGCTGATCCAGAACTGGTGGACGAAGCAGCGAATCAGACGAGAGCACGGGGACCCCACCTTCCCACAGTGGGAGAGGGATTACAACCTGCAGCCAATGAACGCCTACGGCCTGTTTGACGAGTACCTGGAGATGAGTACGAGTCTCTGCTCCGACCGCGAACTTCCACGACTGGACTTCCTGTTGTAACGTTGGCGACGACACTGAGGAACGTGTGTGTGTGTGTGTGTGTGTCAGTTCTTCAGTTTGGCTTCACCACCATCTTCGTGGCGGCGTTCCCGCTCGCTCCTCTCTTGGCGCTGCTCAACAACATCATCGAGATCCGTTTGGACGCCTACAAGTTTGTGTCCCTCTGGCGCCGCCCTCTGCCGACCCAGGCCAAAGACATAGGTGAAGCCCCCCCCTCCCCCCGGCCCCCACCCAGAGGTCGTTGGTTTTCATCATTCTCTCGTTGTAGTATTACTGCAGTATTCACTGGTTTGTTCACTGCCAGGGATTTGGTACGGAATTCTGGAAGGCCTCGGAATCCTGGCCGTCATCACGAACGCCTTCGTCATCGCCGTGACCTCAGACTTCATCCCTCGCCTCGTGTACGCCTACAAATATGGACCGTGTGCTGGACAGGGCCGAGCGGGGGGGGGGGGAGTGGGGGGGGGGGGGGGCGG